CAAAAGGCATTTCTTGGGATGTAGTTTGAGGTTTGCTGCTTTCAAACCTAAGCTGTAGTTTGATTTGCCACTTCTCGTTTTCATCTTCTGTTTTTTTGTCCCACTCTCTGACACCAATTTGTTACGTCTCTGGTCGTTAATTAATTTTCCGTAAAAATTCTTTCCGAAGAAACTTTACCGATACAAGTCCTTTCTTAAATAAAACTGGTTTATTCTTTCTGAATACAACTAAGCTGTAGTTTGATTTGCCACTTCTCGTTTCCATCTCCTTTTTTTTGTCCCACTCTCTGACACCAATTTGTTACGTCTCTGGTCGTTAATTAATTTCCGTAAAATTCTTTCTGAAGAAACTTTACCGATACAAGTTTTTTTATAAATAAAACTGGTTTATTCTTTCTGAATACAACTTTGCAATACACGTAATTTCCACAGTCACGCTATAACAAACGCTATAATTCACAACAAACGACTCACGTGCTTGACTCAATTGTCAGTCTCTCTCAGTCTGCAGTTCAATTACATTGTTGCCGTCACTTCTTGGCCGTCTTATACATACAAGAATACCGCAAATCTAGTAAACACTCGAGGATTCACGAACCTTCGAGAATATGATGTATTACTAGCGTCACGTGACCCCCGCTGTCGTAACAATACCATAAAATTATATTAGCTTTACTACTAGAAACAGAGAACTGCTTCGATGACTTAAGAGACTTATCCACTACTATGCCAAAATCCTTTTATTCAGGCACACTATTGGCTTCCAATTTATAATAAATGCGTGACCCAAATTATAATAACCAAAATGCATTACCGTGCACTTACCATAACTAAAGGTCCTTTGCCAAATACTTGTCTAATGTACAAGTTGATACAACAAATTCTGTTATACTTCAACATCCACAATATGGCTAGAAATATCCAATAATTTAGTATTATTAGCAAACTCTACTAATTTACTAATTATGCTCTTATCAATATCAGAAATGTAAATAAGAGAAGCAAAGTCTCAAGAACTGGCCCCTGAGGCACTCCATTAGTAACTACGGTCCAGTTTGACTGATATACATTAATAACCACTTTTTGATTTCACACAACCAAACACCCTGCAATCCAATTTATTAGTGTTTCTCCAACCCCTGCCCATGCAATTCTTTTAGCTAATCTTTTGTGTGGCACCTTATTAAATGATTGTTAAAAAATCTAATTACACCAAATCCACGCCCTTTCTATCAACCAGAAAACAAGTAACATCCTAAAAAAAAAGCAGATTTGTAAGGCAAAATTTCCCTTTGTGGAATTCATGTTGGCTTTCATTGATATTGTATTTCCTAAAATGATTTTTAAAGCTTTATTTTTATGTGTGTCTAGTATTTTTCAGCCTACAAAAGTAAGATTAACTGTCCTGTAATTTCCAGGGCAACTCTTTATCATCTCATTTGAAAATAGGAGTAAATTAGTAATTCTGCAATCCTCAGGCACCTGCCCACTGAAAAAGAGAGATTTACATATCTGATCTTTGACTTACTTTAAAATCCTGGGGGAAAAGCCTTGTCTGGCCATGTTGATTTTTACTATCAAGATATTAATATCTGTATGATTCAGATCAATTCCAATATTTGCCATAGAATGCTGAAGGTCAGTTTGTCACTTTATTATCTTGTAAAATCAGAAAATAACAAAATAATTGAAAAGCTTAATCATCTTGAATTTTTCAACAAAAATCTTGCCACCAGCATTCTTTGAGGGCCAAATCCCCATTTTAATATTTTGCTCACCATTGTTGAAACTATAAAGTCCTTTATTTTTAGTTTGAATGTTATATATTAATTATCAGCCAGCTGTTTCTCATAAGCCTTTTTTGTACTTCCTGATTTCTTTTTAACCAAATCACTATAGTTATGTAAATCTTCTAATTTCTCTGTCAGTTTCATCTTTTTAGACTTGTAGGATTTATCATTCATTTTCTATTATACATGTAGCAAGCCAATTAGGTTTGACCTTTCCTGTTATTCTTTTCATATTTTTAGGAACATAACTTATAACACTGCTCCAGGTAGATGCTTTTACGTGGACAACCCAACTTGCCCCAATTTTTGAGTGCTTCTGCCCAATTCTGCCCTCATTTTTAACTTACTTCTATGAAAATTCCCATTGTGCTTGGTAGCATTTTTTGTACATGATTGATGAATTTTCTACAATATGCAAAACTAGGACTTACTCTCATGTAGTTAGTTATCTTCAGTCATATTTGTTACCTACAGGGTGATTATAAAGAAAGTTCCAGAATTAATCGTTTCATATCTCGCAGTTGGTATGTCTTAGGAAGATTAGATTGCACATGAGATGCTAAGGGTATGATGTAAATGCAAGTGGTACTGTGGCCTCAAGAAAAGTGACCTGAAACCATTATGTTCTGAAAGTGCTGCTGTGAGACATGTTTTACCTGGTTAGTAATGTATGAAGGGGCACCATCCTACATGCAAACTATTTTGTTGTTTCAACATGGGAATCACATTGGTTATGTACATTACATGGTATCATGAAGCATTAACTGTGTAGTTTCACAATTCGTGTGCAGATTGATTTTCCCAAAAAATGTACAGTTCAATAACAAATTCATTCATGAAACCAAACCTCATTGTCACATTAGCATCATGGAAATGCTTGGGAAATAATATATGTGGATTACTTCCCAATAAGATAATGCAATTGTGTATGTTAACACTTCAGGAAAGGGTTTAGTGTGCTTCATCAGTTCATAAGATATTGGCAGGCTATTGCTCATTGACTTCCAGTCTTACCAAGTACTGCAGTGCAGAATCAACACGTGGAGATAAATCTGTCTCTTTTGGTGCTTGAACATGATGTAGTTTACAAGTAAACATTTGCATAGTTGACTAAAG